TAGGTATCAGTAGCAAAGAGTTATTAGCATCGTAGTGCTTTATGTAAGTAGTGGCGACTTCATTCGCACAGCAGTTTATCTCCCGCTCAGTATGGGATTTACATTGTTTTTGGCACTGAACTATGTGAAGTGGTGAGCAGAAAACTTCTTGATATAGTTTTCATCCTTTTCGACATTTGTTAAGAGAGCCTTTTGGTAATATCAGAAGAACCAAAACATCTTAGAACACTTGAACGTAGATTAATAAATTCAAGGGTTTTTGTGTTGTTTTGGAAATTTGGTTATGGTATAATATCCCAACGTAGTATTCACTAGAACTTGTGGCTCATGAATACACAGGAGGAACGGAAGTTTTATGTGTTATTCGTGAATTTCGACGGATTCTAAAAGTGCAGCCATACAGTTCGATCATGCCCAGTTAAACAATATTAAATATCTGACTTCATAGGAATTTGGACTCATTAGGATTTAAGATCAAAACAATAGGACTATGACATCAGTCGTATAAACACGGAACAGGAGTAATCGTTGTAAATGTCGTTACTAATACTTCACTACTTATGGCTTATGCAGATATAACTCACGTATTCGTAGATATATCGAGTATCTATCGGAGTAGTCAGAAGCAATCTGTCCTATTTCATCTACCTTCAGTTACTGAAGAATAAGTATAAAGAGCATCAGGAGAGGAAACCGGAAAACCATGCTGTTGGAGGGTGACTTTAGGCTGTCTTTGATGCTGCTGAAACCAATAGCTACCATATATTATTTTAAAAATAATTCCAACCATTTTGCACGGAATTCTGCTCCGAGCTTCTTTAAAGAAAATAATCGAAAACTAAAATGTCAAAGAAATAAGCGAATACAAGGATACTTAGTCTACTTGTCCAGTCTTCGTCGTATACTGATTGTTTTTCTAAAACAGAATTACTGCGGCCTGCTTGGATTCTGGGCTACCAAAAGTTTCCATCGAACACTAAAACTTTTCCTTTCAATTTGTTTCTTTCACTTAAATATATCATCTGAACAACTAGTGTGCTCGTGCAAATTAATAAAATGTTTTCTAATAGCCGTTTTTTCAGTTAACAACAAAATTAAGAAAAAATAAGATGTTAGGTGGAAGTAGACTATTCAGTGGGTAAAAATACATCATATTTCTATTCTTCGGTTACTAAACTTTAACTGCAGGCTCTTGTGCTGACTACATGAGTCACCACCAGAATCACCGTCTTTTTTCCGTTCATTCTTCACTCTAGACTGGATGCTGATCCGACTCCAGATGGTTGTCCCACATTATTGCCTTTAATACTGTTAACATCACTTAGACGCAATAATTGTTTCACTTGAAAAGAATGTTGTGGGAGTGACTTTGCTGAAACGGCATATCAGTTCAACCATCTAGCGGTACTGGGTGATGATTGAAGGTGAAGTGGAAATCTAGGCTGCGGCAGGATTCGAACCGGCGACCTCTAGGTTACTGGACCGGTGCTGTCCCAGTTGAGCTACGAGACTCAAACTGTAGACCAGATCTTAATTTCACATCAGTCAGGCATTGTTATACTATCTTCCTGTCTGTACAGACCCCTCATAAAAGTGAATGTAGTTGATCGCAATCATTATTTTAGAAGATATAGAACTAAGTCAGTATGGTAGTAGTTTTATTTCGTAAAGATACTTTAGGAGAAATATGAAGAATTTTCAGCAAGTATGAGATAAGAATTTATGTTAGTGCAGCGAATGCCCTATGTTCCAACTTAATGAAAGTCAAAGACATGGTGGCGAGAGAAAACCAACGAACTACGTTTATATACCCAAATGCCGTGATTGCAATGCAGTATATATAGCGGAGACAGCCAGGCGAGTAAATGTGAGGTTGAGAAAGCATAGACTATGTCTAAAACAGATCCCAAGAATTTCAGCAGTGGTTAAGAAGCTATGAATCAAGTAGGCAATCCACTTCTACTTCGTAGAAACGACCCACAAAATTGACTTTGCGGAACTAAGGTTCTACAAAAAGTTCTTAGTTCACACTACGAAAGATTGACAGCTCTGGCCTTACACATATAGGCAAATGTAGATAATTTGAACAGACGAGATAGAGTACAGTTATCTGCCTACATACATACTCCATACAACAAAAGATATACAATATCAGGTCGAATGATTAGTAAACATATTTTAGATAAACACTGACTGTACGAAAAGGATTGGACATCTGAATTCGTTTATATATCCTCAGTATTTTTATTTCCAATTGTTTCCTCGGAGTAGCTTCAGCTAGATTTCTGTGAGGAATGCTGAAATTATTTTAATACAAATATGTTGGACTTACGCAAACATACATGCTTTATCGAATATCAACCTTTTACTCCAGGCCGAATATTTCCTATGCTATTCCGTCATATCTTGTTCATAGTTTATATTAGGCATATTACCGAAATAAACCATTATCAAATTGACTAGAAATGTTTCTTTTATGGTAGCTTGTGGTTGATTCTCGAGTCATAGGGCGTGTTCTGCATTTTTTACAGTCTGAAGCTGAAGTTATCCGGAGCGAACAAGTGGTAATTCATATGGTCAGTCAATAATGTCATCACACCAACCTCAAACCGTAACCCTAAAGTTTACTCCATTAAGTTTAGTATTTAATTTCGAATGGTTCAAACCCTCTAGCGTAGCTGAGAAGAGGTAAAAGTCTCTGATGTTATATTGTTTAACAACTTTAAGTTCTAATAAATAAGCCTAAGTGTTTGCCGACTTCTTAACCTAATATTCTTATTTTAGTTTATTAAATTCTCCCTGCTAAAATGTATCAAATATAGGGTTCTTAACTCCCTTTGAAGCGTTGCATACTTTTTTTCTGTAATAACCCGAAGTCTTGGCAGAAAGTTGCTTTTTTACGAATAAGAGGAAACACAAAGATTTCTGGTGCTTTGCCTGCCAAAAATCAGCAAGTAACCCATTCCATTCTGGTTGTTCATTTCCATGATTGTATGCTTATTATGGGAATGAATGATTTAGGTTTGCGGCAATATTTGATTTAACACTGGCAGGATTTTGTTTAAACTGGGTACAATAAAAGATGACATTCGTTACTAACCAGTATCAAATGACTTTAAGTAGGAAGTTGCTTAAGGAATTATTGTTGTCTGTTCGCACGTAACCAGTGCGAATGGTGCTTAAGGGCTTTGAGTATAATAATAAATATTTACTTGCTGAGTTAACAAATCGAATAATGAGTAACTGTACTGCTTTACTATCATTTACACCAGATATATGTTGATTAGCATTCCACGCCTAACTCTTCATCAAAGTAGATCCTATTTTGCATTTGGATTAGGTGAGCCAGCATTCATCGTAACAACTTAATTTCTCTTTCATGTTACTGAAAAGATCTGTATTCACTTCATTAGATCTGGAACAGTTTGACCTATATCTGAGTTGGAGGTGAGCTAAATTGTCCTGAAATGAATTAAAAGTATTAAATTTGGATATCAATTTGAAAGAACAAACTTACATTTTAGAATCGATCACTAGATTCTATTTGGTGATATAACTTAACCTTCAGTACCAATGTCATTCATTTCTTTAAACAATAAAATGTAACGGATATATTAAGCAACCCCAGTCTCAGGGCATTGCTTACTGTTCATGGTAATCACCGTGGATCGCTTCTACACCTAACTTAAGTCTTATTGATAGCATTAGGATCAGTTTCATATTTTCCCTAAGATTACTAAGTACTATCAAATAAGCAGCATGGTATGTAGATAAGCGCTCTTGGTTGTGAGCTGGGTGGTTTATTCTTGAAGCTTTCATTGTTCTTCAAGGCAATATCATTGGGACTAACTTCAGTATGAAGCCGTTGGAGTTAGTGCTGATAATGTTATCTAGATAAATACTGAAGGCCTCACGATTAAACCACCCAACTCAAAGAACATAACGCGACCAAGATCATCCACTTCAGCTAAAAATATTCTCCGCAATTTCAATAGATAAGTGCTCCTATCATATTCCTTGACCCAGCTCCATACTTCAGTGTCTAAACCTACAGTACTGGCTTCACAACTGCATGTTGACTAATTTGTATAAAACGACCTTCGATAAACGTTTTAGTGAAGGAAGTTGGTATCTTTAAATTTAATGTTGATTGAAGTTGTGATTCACCACAGCGTATCGAACCACTCATCGTTTAAGTAACTTATTGGTCTGTTGGGAAACAAATTTAGCAATTCTCATCAGAATATTCTTTCGAAATTTACACTACCATCTATTCTTTGTTGGATATCATCAACCTGATATCAAGTCTACGAAATACTCCATCCCTTGTTTCATAGTCATTGACTAAAATACTACTGAAAGACGTTGCTAAGTAGTATGAAAATAAAGAAAAAAATACAGGTATAATTCCTGTTTCATCATCTCAAGTCATTCACTATAAACACAATAACTGGAAACAGAAGTTAACTTGTTTAAAACAAGGTCATAAGTTCCCCTAGGTTACTGCTGATGCATTTGTCTAACTTGAGCATTTTGTATTTATTTTGTCAATTTACTGTTTATTTTTTAGAGAGATTTTTATTACAAGTTCCATTTATACTTTTTGTTTATTTGTTTGTGAATATGCATACTTCCTTTTAAGTGTATGTTTACAATTGAAATGTGAATCATTTTGTTATATGCTGCTCAAAACACTTCAGATGTGTCACATTCTGTATTTTATATATGGATTGTTATGTCTATTGTTAATTTGTAAGTCCATTTACAGAAAAATAAACAATTTCTTGCTGTTATATGTTTTCCTTCAGTAGATGACGAGATTATTCTGTGTAAAGAAGTGACCTTAGTAATAATATTTGTAACAATGTTTGTATGTAAATATAATTTAAGGAAATCCATCACCTTGACTGAAGTGATTCTAGTAAATAATATAATTCCGATTTGAAAAAACCAAGTTATTTCCTTATACTTATTTATATGCATATTGTTTATTTGGTTGTTTATTTAAGTGTTGAGCTACTGTCCTCTTCACGAACTCCGCGAACTTCATGAATACTAGTTCTTTTTTGTCCGCCTTTCTTATCGTCAGGCATCTTTTCGTCTTTCTGTTTTCGTGGTTTTCTTATACCACTATAAGATACATCAGAAGTTATTGGTAGAGTACTTGGGCTTGTTGGCACATTAATATCTTGCATAATCCTACTTGTACCTAACGTTGTGCATTTTCCATGTATCATTGGTGATGAGATTAGTGCTTCCATTAACGTTGATGGTGATGATGATGTTGAACAAGATAATAATTCAACTGGTGTTGATGGCATTTTTGGTGATAAATCGCCTTCAAATATTTCTGAATATCTTGAATGCAATAGTTTTAGTCGTTCGCTGTTCATATTGCAATCGTTATTGTTATCTGTTTGTCTAGAATGTCTTTTCTGTATATTACTAGGCTGAGCAGTGTCTTGTGTTCTTGACGTTCTGTGTGTAGAATTTTTAGTGTGAATTGTATTTTGACTGGTAGTAGATATATTTTCATTTAATAATGAATTTGATGATGTATATGGAATCAAAATACTATTATTACTACTTTCTGTCTCACTTGCTGACTTTTCCATATGAAATACTACTGACTTGTTTTTAAGTAACAAGGATAATTCTTCTCTTAATTCACTTCTAATTTCACTCTTAAATTGATCCCAGTCATTAATAAATAAACGTTTAGTAGTTTGTCGCTTGCTTTGACCAATCATTTGTGAAAAGTCAGCTGATATATCATTTACTGATGTCATGTGTATGATATCCTTGTAGATATCATTTGTCTCTTTATCATAATTCAATGAATATTTTTTCTATTTTCATTCATCATAGAATTACATGAGGTTAACTGACGATCAGTAGCAATATTCGTAGTACTATTATGCATATTTGTTTGGTGACAGGTTTCTAGTGTTTGACTGTTGACTAGTAATGGCGTTGATGATTCTAATTTTAAAAGTTTTTGACAATTATCCATTTTATCTTCATCGTGATAAGACGTTGTACATGGTGAATTGGGAAGAACAGCATTTTGTAATATTGAGTTCTGTCTACTCAATTCATCAACAAGTTCCTGTTTTAAACTTTCTAACTGGCATACAGCACGTACAATTTCACGTTTCCGATCTTCACGCAGTTCGAATCTGTAGGTTTAAAATAGTTTTTTTCAAACGAAAGTTACTTTCGTTGGGCATAAATGTATACTTTATAAGGATTTTTAATGAATTATCGGAAAAATCCAGTTTTTCTTTAGACATAACAAAAAAAAGTAGAGGTTAATCGCTTTTACTGAGATTACAATCAGGCTAATCAGAAATAATCTATAAGAGACTCTGGAAATTAGTTTTTTTCTTTTAAACACCCAACAGGAAGGTGAATATACAATTAATTCAAGACATTTTTTCTATCAGATTGATTTCCACCGCATTTTTTCGTACTGTAATTAAAAATACCAAATTAGCAAAAAGAAATTCATCTTTGATTCCAACTGACATTTGAAGGTGCATGCACTCTGGGTACTGAAAGGTAGCAGAACTTATGGTTTTAAGGTTTTTTGTAGTGTTACGGTTGCGGATTAAAGTTTTGACAGCTTGGTATCGTGGTGAATAATTTACTATATCGACCTAATCTGAATCATTAGTTCAATCATAATAATGACTTATGAATTGACATAAAATAGTTGTCGCTCGTATGTGAGGCTAACAGATTCACTCACTGTCAGTAAAATATTTTATATTTCGTAAAAAAAGGTCGAATTGAAAGCGAATCAAGAAGTAATTTGGTACAAACATAACTCTATTCATACTGTAAGGTAGTATAGAGCAAGGATAAATCTTTTGTGACGAATAAATTCAGCATAACCTAAAAATTGGTGTGTACAGTGTGTCATACTACCCTCCGACTTAATGTTTGTTCTATGGCTACCAATGAGCTAACGAAAAGTTAATTTTCTTCCTTTCAATAGCGGGTTTTTACAGCATTTCATTAACGTCAGATTGTTCAGTTTAGTGGTACCATTAACTTTTATATAAGAGATGTAGCTAAAAGGATAGTAGATGAATTATAGATTATAATTTAGCTACATTCATTCTCAATTTTTATATACTGAGGAAGAATTACGTATACTGCCGGCATATGATGATTGCGTAGAGACTTTATATTGCAAAAGTCTGTCAGTAATTTGTATAAGTCTCTTTTCTACAAAGTGGTATCATCTTTACTATGGTTAAAGTTGATTTCAGCTGATTAGGTGCCTCTGTTGATGCTTCGATGGTACCACACTGATGATGAAGAAAAGTAGAACCACTATCTGGTGTTTATGATACTATGACGAGGTCTACAAAAGGTTTAGTTTATCACAGTTACTTCCTACATGAAGATGTAATTCAGCATCACTTTTCACAAATAGGTCAAATGTCAAGATTACCTTAAACTGGATATATCCTGTTTTATTTCTAGCAGGTCATCTTCATTCACACCATCCTGTCGCATTGTTTTCTTTGATTGATGTATATATCTTCGTACAAGTCGGCGCATAACTGTCTGTAATTCAGAAAAAGATTTAAAAAAAAGAGAAAATTGTACTTTGTGCACATAATAGGAAGCTCAGATGTTGCTTTTGTCAAATAATTAGAATCATGTTTTAGTCACGTCATCTCTGTACACATTTTTCAGTTTAGCGAGTCAGTGGAAATATTTTGTGACCTTACTACTCACATTATGAGCTATTTTGGGTGGCATGTGCATGCTTAAGAGGAAAATATGAGTCTTTTCCAATAAACTGCCCAAGCGAAAAGTATTTTGTGTATGCGTTTATAGGTCTCGGGAGAGCAACCAACTTCCTGTTATCCAGTCTTAGTTGCCAACCGAATTCTAAATGTCATCTTTGCAATGCAACCACCAGAGTCATGGTGCACATTGGTAAGCACTAGTTGATTGGAGGCAATCGCCAGGAAGCGTTTGACCCTGGGCTTCGTGCTATTTGGGACTCATCAGTAAGAGGTATCTGCAACCTCGACAGAACTGATGTCTTATCTGAGATTCAAACACGCCACACATTGTTGCAGTTAGTGACGTTACCTTTTAGCTGTTTAGGTGACGATTCAGTTGAATTACATTATTTTTAAAAGGTATGACTCAATCTAAGCATTTTCTTTGGATTAAGTTACTGAAGACATTCAACTATATTCATCTAGTTTCTACATGTGACTATACACTGGCGATCTCAGATTCGAAGAAACAGACTTTCGTGATAACTACTGTCACTGTGCAACTAGACACGTCTTTAATTGGCTAAATGAGTGCAAAATATTTGTTCATCATGAAAAGATCCTTTTGGATTGTGTGAAATCATCCATTTTCGTAATATATAATTTCAAATATTCATTGAATGTAGCTAAAATGGAAATGTATTGTATATTATTCCCTGAAGAATTTCATTTCACTTCAGTTTCTCCAGCAATCCTGGAAAGTTAAGATGTAATGTCTGGCTGTTCTACTGCAACCTGTGGTTCTTTGTCAGTTCGAATTTGTAAACACTATCTAAGCCGAACTTAACTTTCTTGTTTGCTTAATGGTGAGCTGAAATGTAGGCCATAGTTCTTGCATGTCTTTTAAAATTTCAAAAGTTGCCGGTTAGATAAAATATTTTATATACTTGTAATTTGATGGCCCATGTAAGACAGGGATGATTGATGTCTGCTGCTTTTTAAATGTTACCCTCTACACTTTAGGTAGCCTCTGCTACCATGAAGAGCCAGGTTTAGGAAAATTTGAGGGATATTTCATCACTTCTGTAAAATGGCAACATCGTATGATTGTGCATGAATCAAACACCCCACTAACTGAGCCTCTCTTTATACTGTTGTTCCCAGTGGGCTCAACCTTTGGTTAGGTTCCCATTCTTCGAGAATCAAACTGAGCCTAATAGACTGGTTTGGATTTTGCATCTGACACCAAAGTTACTACATGACATTTGATGAGCTACATAGTTTTGTATAGTTATGCGCATAGGACCTTTGAGAAAGAAAGCGTTAGTGCTCTATGAATTTCGACTGCTCCAGAGCTGAAAAAGGATCATAAGCTCCTTCAGTATTACCGCATAAAGAAGGAATATTGTGAATTTTATATAGAGCTCATAACAATGTTTTAATTAGGTTGATATTTGGATCTACAAACTCACTCAGAGGCAAATGCTGTTTAGATTGGGGATCTTGCTGATTCAATAAGATAAAACTATTTTGCCTGCCAAATGCCATACAGTGGATGCAAAATCAAGCGTGTGTCAAATCGCCAGAGTAGGGTTATTCAAATTATCGAATAGTAGAAATTAGGCTAAATTTGTGATAACAGACACCACTAAGATAAAAAACCTGGAAAAAATCTCACTCAGTGCTATGCACGCTCTTGAACTATTATGAGATAAACCAATATCGATGAAGACTAGATAGATAGACACCGATTACCCAACTTATGCTCACCAAACCAACACCCGGCATGCCTTAGAAACAATACAATACCTTTTCATGTGTGTGGAAAACTCTAGTACCACTGAAAACAGAGAATGAGAGGTGGTTGAACTAAGTAATCAGGTATTGGTAGCCTTATGATTACTCGGATGTAATTTTAAATGGTAGATAATGATCTTGAAAAGATTTCTCTAAAACCAGTTTTACAGTCGCCGGTATTAGAAATACTACAAATTGGTGATATCACCGGTTATCACAAGTTCATCACTAGAGATATAAGCCTTCAGTCTATTAACACCTTGATTTCGAAATGTACAGTAAACTTCATGGCTTCCTATATTTTGGATTCTAACTGTCTAGAAGGCAACTCATTTTAAAGTCTTCTTATTAAACATTTGCTAATTCGAAGGTAGAGCATTTGCAAGAATACTGTAATACCACTTGACTAAAGTGTGTGGTATCCAGTCTTGTGCTTCTTAGTATCATAGCCATTCTTTTTCTGGCTTTCGTTATATACAGCATATATAAGAATATTCAAACAAATAGGATAGATCTTTGAATGTCTACCACATTAAAACGGAATTGGTTATCGAAGGTAGTGAAAAAACCATGGTTTAATCTAGTAGAAAGCATGAAGAGTGGAACTAGAACACCATAAACCACTTCAGTTGACTGAAAGATGATAAAAGTCGCATGAATACTATCATGAAAGTGTCAGGTATCTATGGTTTACGATCTATAATGGTGAGCGAGTAAGCTAATTTAAATTTACGCACCCCTTTGTGTGAGTGAAAATAATATGCAAGTGAAATTTTTAATTACAGTTCACTGTAAAACAATTAAAACCGAACTATTATGTACATTTAAGTTACGTGTATCTTTGTAAAGTTTAAGAGAGCTGACCAATGGAAAGAAAGGATGACACGTAACCTACACCTTTGAGAAAATCCTATAGATCATCAGCTGTTAACGAGTTAAAAGAGCCTTAAAGTCAATTTCACTGTAAATAGTCCTATGAAATTCAATCTTCAACAGAAATGCTATTTTAGATGTCTCAGGCTAAATAACTGCGATTATCTGATCTCAGAAGCATAGCTGTCAACAGATTAACATATACTTCAGTTAGTAATTTTGATATTTGAGTGGACTAATATCATTTTTATCGCCTAATCACCTTGATATTCGTCAAGATCTTGAAACAATACCGCTAAATTACAGGAGTAAAGTTGAACTGTTTACCATCTGAAGCTCTGGTAAACAAGATTTTCACGAAAAGAAAACCATATCTATTTTTTTTCAAAGTTTATTATTTCTTCCCTTCCTTTAAACTAAGACTAGAAAATGACATAAAGACCCAGGTTTTTGCGAGGTTACTTAAAAATAATATATTTTGATCGGTAAACAATCACGATGCAACTAATGACAACTGGTTTCAGTAATTATAGAACTGCAGCTCCGTGGTACTGGCATCTGACTCTCACACAGTAGGGAAAGGGTTATAATCCCACTCCACCTACTGACTTTTTGAAAGACAAATAAAACCATTAGCTCACATGAAAGAAATGTGGTTTATTGTCTACTGTCTGTAATTTCAAAATGGCTGTTTGATCCATTTCCCTTTTTGTTTTGATTTCAGTAATCACTGGCACTAATTTATTATTCTGTTCAGGCATACTTGTCTTGAACATAAAATGAAGTTTAAGTCTGAACACACTATGCAAGTGATTATGTTTCATGCTTATTCAAAGCATTACTTCACTGACCTTAGATGTGTACTCAAAGTTCTAACCTTTTGTCTTTCATTGATTTCGAATAGTTGGATTTCAAACTGGTATTATCTTACCTGATATTATCTGATAAACTATGAGACCACTTAGATCAAGATAAATAAGCAGATATTAAAGAAGTTTGCATCAACTGGATTATATATTAGTCAAAAAATTGCTACACGCCTGTTATCTTAAAACTGTATGATTTTTGTTTACATGTATATCAGCAAAAATTACTGTTATTTGTGTACGCATAACCTACTCATTTATTGAGAGTCATGGTTACGAGTTTGTCACTTAAAAAAAATACATATTCTTCAATGTATCAAACTGAAATTCATGTCGTTTTTTATGACAGTTAAAACATTTACTGAGCACTAAATGCTGAGAAATTTAAGGCTTTATTGAATATTGAACAATAACATTAAGACATGTATATATCCATTTGTTCATATCCAAGCAACTAGGGATAATGTGTATATAAACGGGGTATGTCCACATAATATACGTATAGTAGTTATCTTTCTTTTTTTCTTCTCTTTAACCCATTGTTCCTCCCAAATATTTGTAATTATTGTATTGCAAGCAATATCACTGTTAGTGATAAGGATAACAGAAATATTGATAAAAGCTTGTATAATGATAGATAAATAGGGACGTATAAAATGGTAAATTATTTCAATAAATGAAATTATCTTTCATGCGATAAAAATTTAGGTAAAAATGACTGACTGCACAACAAAATTTAGAGTATTTATGAAGGATTATAGTCTGGGAAAGAAAGAGTACTAAAAAAAGGTAAATGGCTATGCTTCTGATGAAGTGGAGGAAAAGAAGCATGGACAAAACCTGAAGAAGAAAGATTATGATGAATTACTAAAACGCAGAAGAATCGCTATCAATTCACATCTAATTTATATGGATTGGAGTTTTATTGATGAAATTTAAACTAATTAATCGATAGAATAAGTGATTATGTAAATGATAAAATAATCTAATTTATTATATTTTATTTGCCCAGGTTTCTTACTTATATATTTCTGAGTCATTTTGGGAGTTACACAATGATTATATAAACATCAGCAGATAGTTTGTAGTGATTCTTTTTATCTAGTTGTCAGCAGTGACAGAAGTCTATCAGTCGCAGGAATCAGAGTGTAACTAGTATAATTGCTTGGATTATACCGTCGTTGATTAGACCCAATTGATCGGCCTGTATTGGCATATGGGCTCCTAAGCGGATGTTTCAATGTTTCCCGTGTGTTCTTTTAATTATATGTAGTAATGATGGATAGTGGCTAGCAGT